AAGCATCGTCAACATGTAGGGATGCCGTGAGTGTTCCCTCTCAATATCAACTTTCATTCTGTCTAAGCTGGCACCAACTATAGCTTATCGTAGTCTGAGAGCTTGAACCGCAGTGAGATTTAATCCCTTCTCCAACCAACTCTATAGGTTACCATCTTTCTTTCATTTCAATATAAAGTAATACCTCCTCAGAGATATTGTAGGATGTCCCAGGGGTACCTCGGATCGCTGTACGAGCCGTTTCACACTCTGTGGCATTAAGCGTACTATGTATCATTGGAGTTGTGATTCGATGTTCTCTCAAATGGGCACAGATTCCTTGTGTAGATACATACATTGCTATATTTACGTAAAGCACAATAACGAGAAGGTGCGTTGGCCTAGGGGGCGTTCTGACAGTCGGAATATGCATATGTACTGAGGTCTCATGGGGTATGTTCATCAAACTGAAAGGTGTATAACTCTGGCATATGACCGTATCATGGGTGGCGTTTGTGGTGTTGTTCAGTGGAAGACAATATGCAGCGCAGAGATTTGCTCAATAGTGACAGGTTGGGAAATGGAGATGTGTCACGGTCTAACCGGGGGCTGGATGAAACGCCCGAGATGAGCTCGCTGTTGACGGGTTTATCTTGGGCGTTCATCTAGTCCGGTGGGGCGGCGACAATTTTTTTCATTCTCGCGGGAATCGCGGGAAAAGAATCACTCCTAGGTATTGAATAGCAGGGTTCTCAGTCTCGCTTCGCTTCGCTAAGGGTGGTATGAGGGCTCTGCGTGTTTGCATGCTCATGTTACGCTCGTCGCTGTTGGGTCTTCTTCTTTTTGCCTCCTCATCTCTAATGGTCGACCACACTGTTAGTAAGAAAAGGCGTTTGTCTAACGGAATGTTAAGAAAGGATGCTGCTGCCCACACACAGGAGAGGCTCGAGGAGCTGATTAAGAGGTTTGACGCAGGTAGTGTTGGGGAGGGGCCCTGCTCTTCTCACGATCAGAATTCTCATTATTTACACCAATGCTATCCGCATATGAAGTTTCGTCATAGATAGTTTCATCATATACTTATCATAGTTCTATCGTTTTGTATTCCATTGCCGACAGCAGATTGTTTTTACACATTTGCATAACCATTGGGTGATCACTAGGAAGCATAATCGTGTGCAATCTATGTTGGACTTTTATGAGAGCTCGATCCTTGTACTAGTATCTATATACTACTAGTATATAGGTACTACTATATAATGTGTTATATAGTATAAGTATACTAAACACAAAATCTCACAACCTGAGTCGCAGTAATAACAGAGAAATCGAAAGAATACTGTATGTTCTAATATTTTGTGAGGGGGTTTAGTATAATACTAGTACCTCCCTGTACCTATATCATTCTCTCACATCCTGAGCTCGATCCGGAGCTCGTAAGCACTCATAAGGCATAAACTTCGAAGCTACCATCCGGTAGAGCGTCATCAAGTCTGCACTGGGGAGGATTATCTTCTGATGAATGGGCTTGCGTAGATCTGCATATAGATCAGTCATAGCTCTCGTGTTGTAGCATGTATTGGGTTGCTTTTTCAGTTGGCGAGAGCATAATACAGGAGCTGCCGGCCTTGATATTGGATTTGGAGGAGCGTGTGCCTAAAGTATTCACTCGGACCGAGGACATCGTGGAACTGGAAGATGCCTTTGCTAAGAAGGTAGGTTGGGCGACCGCCTGGGAGAGGGCCGGGGAGGGGTCGTCGCACGCCTGAGTAGTGATTCCAGCAGTGATGATTTAGGGAATATAAAAAACTATAATTCTGGTTGCTAATTGCTCGTCTTATCAAGAGGGTTGTTGGGAGGCAATAGTGATCAGAAATTAGGGAGTATGTACAGTGCAAAACAGCCCATGAAATTATAAATAAGATACTCACTGTGTTGGGCAGAAAACCAACTGCGGTTCAAGCATCTGAGTAGGCTTATTATCCTCGTTTGGTTGGTCGCTTTTTGGTTAACAATTGATTTAAAATTGAGCTAGTACTAGTATTAGAACAACTATAACTACAAGTGGCTAGCACTATCAAGCTGTTACGTGATGATGATCAGGAGTGCTCATCCGAGGGAATCCAGTCGGGGAAACCCAATCCTGTGATAGTTGAAGTTAGCAGGATCGTCACCAAGGAGTTCGACAGGGCCAGCGATAAGTAGTATACGTGGGAGAATCAGCGTTACACTTGATGATTAACGATTCAAGTCTTGATAGAAGCAGCAGTGGCTGAGCAGCTTGTGTGGAGTTGAGTATCTTTCTTGTCTCGTAGGCTCTCTCGACTCCAGCGTTACGTTCTCATGCATGTTCCGCGTGAGGAGGATGGTAATAATTTCGGTGTCGAAGTCCAGGCACAGTTCAACGGGAAGTAGGGAGGGTCTATATAACGTTTATGGAAGAGGTTTGCTTGATAGGTTGGGTGAGTATTTGAAGTGGTGTGATGATACTCAAGACGAGAACAAGGTCTATCATCAGGCACGAGCTGAGAGTAGGGAAATTTTGTGGCGCTCGAAATGGTATACTGGCTTCTTGTTGTTGTTGTCATCAGTTATTCGGCAGATGGATTTTGAGAGGGCTGTCGAGGAAAAAGAGACTATGTGTGAAAAGGAGGACAAGGTGCGTCATCATTATAGGGGAATACACGCTTGGGGCGCTACTAGCCTCACACCAAGGGGCAAACCTCTTTTGCCATACACTATGATAAAACAGGAATAATGGGAGGTTATGGGTCCCATAGGAATTCTCCATCATGAGAACATCTCCATGGTCCGGTCGCTCTTGAACGTTCTTGCGCAATAATTCGTCGTCGTCTACGTCTTGACTCATATAGCTGTCTTCGTGGCTCCTTCCTCGACGATGGGAGCATGCAATTGACCAAGCACCAGCAGCAGCAGTGTTGGAATATATGCTCGCTTCCTTCAGCTCAGCTCAGGAGTTTGCATACGAATTCCGCTGGAAATGTACAGAAACCAACAAGAGTATTCTCGAAATTGTCATATTATCACCAACACGCGTAGCTGACCATGTTCCCATTTTCCCACACTGCCCAGCAGTAGTGAAAATGACTGTTGTATTTTTTCCAGGTGACCAAGTCCAAGGCTACTAAATCTGTCGAGAACGTTCCTCAGCTCGGAGACCTCCTTAGGTGAGCTCGAGCGTTGGGAGAGTACCCCCTACTCTTATCGCAGTTACGTCGCTCGTCACGACGCTCTCCAATACTTCACGTTGAAGAATGAACTGCAGGAGCTCATCAGCATGTAGACTTGAAGGGGGGTGGGTGAACCTTATAGTAGAGGAATTGCCTCAGGTATCTGCACTGTTATATGTATGTCAAGCACAATTATGAGAAAATACGATGGCCTCGAGGGAAGTCCGATGGCATGAACATGCAAATGTACTGATCTTCATTATCGGTGCCGAAGCGGCTCTACTGAAGCACACCACCACTCGATGCATTGTCTCAATGGACCATTGGTGACCAGTGCTATCGTAACGTAGAAGAATGATAACAATAACACCCCCACTGCCAATAGCAATACCAAACTGCCTTCACGTTCAGTTGGTATATTCACTGCCGATGTTGAGCACGGGGAAGTTATAGAAAACATCGCTCCGCCTTTTTTGTAGTTTCTTATATGGAGAAGCCTCCACTACGATTGCTGTGGCTGTTGCTGTCGGTGCTGTTGTACACAGTTTCTGCAGGCAAAGGCTTCTTCCCGCCTGAGAATGGGAGGGTGGTGGAGGTCGATGGCGACTCGCTGATAAATTTGACTGAGTCGGGGCCTGAGCCTGGAGCCACTCGAATTGTCCTGTTCTACGCCACTTGGTGCGGCCACTGTGCTCACTTCGCCTCGGAATACGAGATGGTCGCTGAGGTTTTCTCAACAGTACCCTCGCTGTCCTTTCTTGCTATTGATTGTAATGAGTATAGGGAAACGTGTAGATCAGCAGGCGTCGATAGATACCCGACTCTGGTCGGTTATAGGGATGGCGAGAAGACCGGACCGGAGTGGGATCGCCGAATTCGGGCTGCTGATTACGTCAATGAGCAGCTGCCTGAGCGCCTACAGCTCGCCGAAATACCGACAACTGAGCATCTTAGGGGGGCACCGGTGGAAGTGAAGGAGAGCAAAGGAGAGGGAAAGTCCGATACGGCAGAGGCTAGAGTGCATGATGGCATCTTGGCTTTCGCTAATCTGATGGCGACTGCAGTCTTTCCGGCAGGTCGGGACTCTCTGGAAGGGGACCGTCTGGATACCCTCAAGTACGTGGTATTGCCTACAGTCGCTACCTTGCATCCCGATGAGGGCTTCCGTCGAAAGATAGCCGATATTGGAGAGGAATTGCGGAGTGTATACTCTCTCGCTCGAGACCAGTGGATGGCCTTGTTGGCTGATAAGCCTCTTCTAGGCGGTGAAATTGCGTTATCTGAAGCGCTTGCCCCTGAGAGTCATTGGAAGGTCTGTGGACAACTTAGCTGCGGACTGTGGCAGCTCCTTCATCACCTTACCTTGGGGGTTGATCGACCGTATAATGGGCAGAAGCACCAGAATGATCTGACTGGGGATCGTACCGGTCTAGCTGCTATGACGGGGATTAAAGCCATCGTATCGCAGTACTTTGCATGTGAGGAGTGTAGGAGGCATTTTGTCGAGGACTATGATAAGTGTCTGTACGGTCGCTGTGTGGATGGTGATTCGCCCACGAGGGAGGAGACTGTGATGTGGTTGTGGAGATTCCATAACGCCGTCAATGGTCGG